GGAGGGGATGGCTGGCGCCCGCCGGCACTTCACCACGGACACGCGCTCTGTGTGAGAAGTGCTTTGCCGTCCATGTGCACCGTGTGTGAGCCCAGGGCCGGGGCTCCCCTGGGACCACTGAAGCACACCGCTTCTCCGTAACCCAAGACCACCCAGCAGGCCAGCTTCAGCCTCCCGCCTACAGGGGCGTCGTCGAAGGCACCAGGCCCCACCCATTGCTGTCCCGGCCCTCTTGTGCTCTGAGCCCGTGACAGTTGTATTGCAGCCGTCACTCCACTCCAAGCAGGAGACTGAGTGGGAAGCCCATTTCTGGCCCCAATTAAAGTGAAAATCCAGCACAGGGACCTGTTCCTACTCCACCCCACGCCACACTAGGGGCCTCGGTCTCACCTGTGAGCGGGGCGGTGCCCACACTGGGGCCGTGGGCTGCTAGTTCGCGGGCGAGGCTGGCCACAGTCACTTTGTGAGCCATACAGCACACGGGAACCTCCGTGTCTGTAAGACAGGTCTTTGTGTCCAGTACAGCCTCCCGCTCCTTCCTGCCCACGCCTCCCTGCCCCAGCTGCCACCACCTGACCTTAAGGGACCCGTGTCTGTGAGCCTGGGGTGTTAGGGTGTGCAGCTGTGCTTCTGTAAGTCGAGGGTCACGTCCCAGTAACAGACACTCTCGCAGGAGAAAGAGAATCAGAAACGGGCAGCCGCAGCCCAGGAGAATCCCTTGGGGAAACGCATCAGGTGGGCGTGGAAACGCACCGCTCACCCTGTAACGGCAGCCTCTGCTCATCTGTCACCTCTGAGGTCACTCAGCTTGGGGACGTTTCGGTTGAAGAGTGAATTCCTGCTCTTGTGTGAACGCTCCTGCAGCTGGAGTGAGCACCCACGTACCTCTGAGCCCAGCTCTGCAGTGAAGTCAGCCAAAAGAGGGAGGGAAAACTCACCGTGTCACACGTACACACGCACATACCTACACATACACACGTGCACACACAGGCACATAAGCACACATGCTTGTGCACATAAATATGTGCGTGCATGTACATACATGATCACACACAATGCATATGTGTGCACACATGCACACAAAGCACATGCACAAATGTGCACACGTGCGCATACACACATGCATGTATACATATGCACACGGACACACACCTGCACAAACTATGCATATGCGCACGCATGCACATACACATATGTACATGCGCACATGCACATGCGTGTGCATGCACATACGCACGTGCACACAAAGGCATACTGGCTTGAATGCATACACACATACACTTGCACATTCGTACATGCATGCACACACATATACACATGAACACACACACCTGCACGCACACATATGTATACATGCGCACACGCTATGAAGACCCTGTGTGGTCATCAGTCTATTTGGTCAGGCTGAGTGTTCCATCTGGACACCCCCGGAGGCCACCTTCTCAAATCTTATCGCAGAAGTGGGAACTGAGGTCCAGAGACAGGCCCCCCACAGTGGCCAGAGGAAGACCGAGGTCCGGACCTCTAAGTGCTGGCGTGGCCGTCCGGTTAAGGGAGATTACTAGTTTGGCTTTGGAAGCAGCCCTAGGAGGTGGGTACCAGGCTCTGCATGTCACAGACAAAGGGAGCGGAGCCCAGGAGGTGAGTAGCTGGCCCAGAGCATGCTGCAGGGGTAGAGGTGGGGTGTGTGCCAGGCCACCTGTCCTGTGCGTGTCCTCGGCCATGCTCGGAGCAAGTACGGCGGGCAGCTGTGCGTGCTCTGTGCTGGGAGCAGTCACGGCCGGGCATCAGCCCACTGCCTTCTGCTTGCCGGCACCTGCACCTGTTAACCGGGTTCCCGCCCCGGCTCCCTCCCTTTCTTCGGGTGACGCTGTCCTCTCTGCACGGTGGGACCCCCTGTCTCCCCTGGCCAGTGAGGACACACGGCCTGTCTCTCTGAGCTGGGTCCCTTCACTTGCCGCTGTTTTGTCCTCGCCGTTTCACCAGTGAGTAAATCAAGACCAGAGAGGCAAAGCTGCTTCTAGTCAGGTGGCTAGTAAGTGGCAGGGCTGGGATTTGAACCCAGGCCACTAAACTCCAGTGCTTTCACTGGTAATCTCTACATGCTGCCCCTCCTGTGGCCAGGTGGAGTAAAGGGGAATGCAGTGCTCTAAAGCTTGAGGGCAGCCCGGGTTGGAGGGGCAGGCAGGGCAGGGACCGGTTCTGTGGCCCGTCGGCCAGCGGCCGTGTCTACGATGTGATGGGCCTACCTGGGCAGATGGTGTGGGAGATGCAGCTCCCACCCCGGGACCTGCAGGGAGCCTACCTGCTGCAGTGTGAGAGGGTCAAGTCAAGGCCTCCCAACCACGAACAGCGTGTGCTGGGCCCGCTGTGGCTGGGCCCGGCTGCAGCACGCGGAGAGGAGAGGCTGGCCCCCAGCGGAGCCCCGGGAGCCTGCTCAGAAAACTGGTCTGTCGCTCACCAAGGCGCGGTCCTCCTCAGCCCCGGGAGGGCGAGCGGGCACCTACAGTTCAGATGCCCTCTCAGAGCCGACGGCCCGCACACAGGGCACCCGGGAAAGGACAGGAAGTCGCTGCCCTGGCTGCCCAGGGAGCCTGGTGTCCGGAGGGCACTTGGACGTGGGCCTGTCCCAAGACAGACTCCGTGTCCCACCGGGGTGCCGGGTAGTGCTTGAGAAGAGATGAGGAGCTGCTTCGGGAGAAGCCCCCGCCCAGGGCCGTCCCTCGCACCCTCTCCCGTGTGTTTCCCAGCCTTGGACGAGGTCGGGCAGCTGGAACTTGAGGCCACCGGCATCTGCTGGCCGTGCCCGTGTCCGCGTTCTGAACCCACGTCAGCCCGGCCATGGCCTCAGGGGTCGTGCAGACCCACAGGCCAAGTGGCAAGTGGCGGCGCTGCGCTCGTGGGGGCGTCAGGCGACGTGTCCCTCAGCGTTTCTGTGGCACCTAGCGCCACGCCTGCCTCACCGGAGCCCAGGCCAGCCGGACGGCACATGGGAGTGAGGCCCCGTCCATGGTGAAGGCACCCACAGACTGAGCCGGGCGGAGTCCGAATGGGCACCCGTTTCTCTGTTCCTCGCGAGGGCCCGGGTGAGGCGTCTTCTGGCCGAGGGTAAATGCGAGCTTGCTGGCTGGTGACGGTGTTGCCAGGGCTCTTTCCTGCACCATGACCCGCCCTCTGTCCCTGCAGCCTCACGGCCACCCTGGCGAGTGTCGGCGCAGCCAGCATCCCCAGCGCTGGGCTGGTGACCATGCTCCTCATCCTGACTGCCGTGGGCCTGCCTACGGAGGACATCAGCCTTCTAGTGGCGGTGGACTGGCTTCTGTGAGTACCGCTTCGGACGTCCGGGCCTGGGCTGCATCTCCGCCCCTGCCTCCGCCTCCCGGGGCTGCAGCTGGCAGACGGCAGCAAGACAGAGACAGAACTGGGCCCCTAGGAGCCCCTGGGAGCCCCTGGCGTTTCCGTTCACCGGATGGAGTCCCGAGGGCCACACGGTGCGGGGAGGTGGACAGGCTGTGCCCATCTGCACCCACAGCACAGAGGCGGGAACGTGGCCATGACGGTGCAAATGTGGCAGCAGCCGGAGCGGGCTTGAGACAGCCGAGAGTGAGCGAGGCCAGACACATCTGCCGTGGTGCGTCTACACTGCGCTCTGGGCAGGCAGCGTAGACCTTAGCTATAGAGCAGTCAGGGTTGTGCACACCAGGGTAGGGGCGTGGCGATGGCCTGGAGCGGGGCACAGCGAGACCTTCAGGTGTGACAGAGACATCGTGGGTGCACAGGGCCCCCTTAGTGACTCATGCGGGAACGCGCCACTGCGAGGCAGCACGCAGGATGGCACCGTGGTGTGGTGGGCGCTTCCCAGTCGGGGCTGGGTGGAGGGGGTGCCAGGGAGCCGCGGGCGTGTCTGGAGCCCAGGGCCCTGAGCTTGGAGTTACCACCCCTCCCCCATAGATGAGGAACCGGGTTCAGAGAGGCCAAGAGACTTGTCCAGGATCGCTGCCTGGCTCCGCTCCGCCTGCTCCGGCACCCGCCACACCCCGCACAGGCCAGGTCAGGGGTCGAGGCTGTGCTGTGGGGGCAGGAGTCACTCGGGCTGCTCCGGGGACAGCGGGAGCCCTGAAAGGAGGCTGACAGCAGCATGGGGACCTGGCATCTGTCGCTGGAGCCTGGGCGTGGTGAGAGGAGAGGATGGCTGGCCCGGGCACGTGGACCTGGTGAGCACAGCCCCTCCCTGGTGTGGGAGATGGCCACCGTCCGCAGGGGGCACGCCTGGCCGGACGGTCTGGAGGGAGGCAGGAGTAGCCCCCCGGCCCTGCCATGTCTGCCAGATGCCCACGGCCACCTGCCTCGTCTCGCAGTTAAATGATGGAACCCAGGTGACACGCTGACTTCGGTGCCGGCCACGGGTGACAGGCTGGGGGGCTTTGAGCCCGAGTGCCCACACTTACCTCCTCCGCCAGTGGCCACACTCTGACAGCTGTCAGTGGGCATTTTCGGGGCAGGAGCTGTTCCATGGACGTGGCTTTGCTCCTCCTCCCAGCCCTGCATTTCCAAGGAGAGGACAATGCAGGTGGCCGCAGGGAGGGGGACGACTGGGAGCCTGGGGAAGCCGTTCTGGGCTAAGACGGGCTATGTTGGGGCAGGCTGAGGTTGCTCAGGAGTGGCTTCCTGGGTGTGATCTACGGGCTCAGGAGGGCTGTGAGGAAGGTCGTGGGCCTTCCTGACTCTCTCGCTATTCATTTATTTATTTATTCTACGAGGCAGGGACAGGCACCACCCAGGACCGCATGCCTGATCCACCCCAGTCCCAGCCAGTCTGCGTCAAGGACCCGCGCATGCCTGCTTAGGGGACGGGGGCCTGGATGTGACCCGAGGTCCTTCCTGTGCGGTCTGACTGTGCTTCCCTGAGCCCCCACCTGGCCTGGCTGACTCTGAGTGTCACAGAAATGCTCTGGGAGCCTTTGGGGGGGAGGGAGAGCACACGGCAGGCCCTCGCACCTGTCTGTGCTTGCCGGTGGTGGGGGTCCTTTCTCACATCCAGATCTGGGAGCTGAGTGACGGGGTGGCAGGTGGGTGGGAGGAGGAGCAGGGACCTGGAGACACCACAGTGCTTGGGATGGAGCGCACAGTGGGAGCGCAGGAGGGTGTGCAGACCTGGCCCGTGGCGGGAGCAGCAGGGTGTGTGGACCTGGTCCGTGGCAGGAGCAGCAGGAGGGTGTGTGGACCTGGCCCGTGGCGGGAGCAGCAGGGTGTGTGCGGACCTGGTCCGTGGCGGGAGCAGCAGGAGGGTGTGTGGACCTGGCCCGTGGCGGGAGCAGCAGGGTGTGCGGACGTGTACAGTGTTGTGATCGTCAAGGCCTTTACCCAGCGGGAGGACGAAGGAAGCCATCCGACCTCTGGGCTCCCCATATCCTGTGAGTTACATCCCAGCCTCTGGCCCCCAGCTCCCGTATTCCAGGGCCCTCACTCCTGGTCTCTGCCACTGTGGCCAACCCATCCTCCTTACATGCACTGTTGTACACGCTGCCCCTGCCGTAACGTGCGTGCACTGAAGGGGTCGAATCCAGCTTTATTGCAGAGAGCAAGGGAAGGAGTGGAAGTTCCACGGGCACCTGCCTCTGCTCTAGCTCAGCCCCTACGGCTGCGAATGAGAAGGGCTGAGTCTCCCGCAGCCGGGAACAGCAGGCCATGTGGCCAGCCCAGGGCGCCCAGCCCCCACACGGACCCTTGGTTCATACCAAGCAGTTCCAGCAGCGGGAGGAGCCGCGACAGGCAGGGAGGACAGACGTGCTGCCCCACCCGGGCTCTGGTCTGCCCGCTCTGAACCATGCTGAAGGCCAGCGGCCACCGGCAGGGTTGGAGGCTCTGCTCTCAGTACGTGTTGGTAGCCCAGCGTGGCAGCTTGGTCTGGGACGGCACAGCCTCCGGAACCATCAGGAAACCAAGCTGTTTTTCACACACAACCCGGTCTCAGAGGGCGCAGAGACGCCTGAGTCTACGTGTTACAGCGTTCGACTCGTTCATCTCTCCCTTCCCAGGATAGAACAAAGCGAAGGGTGTGAAGGGGCTCAGGGCGAGTCAGGGTCCCGGCTGCCCTTCCACCAGGGCTTGGTGCCCGTGAGCCTGCCTGGGGCCCCCCTCTCCGGTCCATCGTGGCCTTTCGGCCTGTCGGGGGGATGAGGGCCACCTCACGGAACATCGAGACCTGCCTGTTCCTACCTAAATGTTAGGGAATGGGGTGGGGAAGACCGGGCACCCCAGATCTTCCCAGGCAGCCCGTGTGTTCACACGTGCCCAGGAAGGCAGGGTGTGCTACCTGAGGGTGGAAACGTGCCAGAGGAGGGCTGGAAGAGAAGTGTGAGGAGCCCCTCGGGCTGCGGGCCTGCTCTTGGTCCAAGCTCGCCCTTGCCATCGGTGGCCCTGCGGCTCAGTGTTGCTCCCGGGCTGGAGAGCAGGCATCCACGCCAGGCCTTCGAGTGCCCGCGTTTGAAAACCTGGAGCAGGCTTCTGTGGTGACGGTGACCAACAGACACGGGCATACTTTCTGAGCTGAGAGGGAGACAGGGCAGAGGCCCTGGGAAGCTGTCTACAGGGTCTGCAGTGAGGTCAAGCCTGCCCTGACGCCCTCAGAGGGCTGCGTTCTTTCCCACCAGTGAGAGGAGCTGAGGAGACAAACTCGGCCCTGAGCTCTCGGCTGGTGGGGCTTGCCAGTGTCGGGGGGGCACCGGGGCCGCGCTGAGACAGGGCTCCAAGGGAGGCTGGCAGAGGGAAAGA